ATTGTGCAGGCAGTAGCCCAGTTGCCCTGTGACCCTCAGAAACCAACTTGAACAAAATAAATCAACTTCGGAACCGTGTTTGGAATTCACCATGTTTAACCCTTCATGCGCATTATCCCAACATCTTCCTGGGCAGAATTGGAAAACCACACAATTCCATTGACCCGAAGCCGAAGACATCTTCTTTCGTCAAAGGCTAAGGGATCCAAAGTACCTATACTATAGCAATCGCCTTGACCACATTGCAAACACATCCTGGCAACAAAAACATTGGGAAATCAAGGGCCCATTGAAACAAAGACTCACTCTGTCCCGGTAAGACCACCTAGCAGGCTTGCAGACTCAGCAAATTGATTTGAAGGTCGGGGGGGGGGTCTGCCAACTGTTTTCGGCAAAAACAAGCATGCGTTAAATTAGGAGGAACACCGTTTGCGTGCCGAAGGAATGTGGGGAAGCCGCCAAGAAGCAACCCAGTTAAAGGTCTTTTCAAACGTGATAACCTGTGTATCTATGGCAGTCCCAACCTCTTCATGTATTTCCTGCTGACTTGGGTGGTTCTCAAAATGAGAAACACTTGCAAAGGTGTCAAGGCTCTTTTGGCCTGTCCATACATCCCAGCCGCCTGGGTAATTCACTCCAACCGCTGTCCCAAACAATAAACCTCAGTCTACCACCCACGCTTGCGCACAAGTGCAGCCACTCACCAATACCGTAGGCAAAGCCAAAACCTGTTCGATTTCACATTCCTCCCAGTCCGGCAGTTTGACCGGGCCCCCTCCTGCAAGCCCTGCTCTGTGACGGTAAAGTTGATAACCGTACACTCGGCCTGGCGGAACAGCCAACTTTCTTCAGGTTCGCGCCTGAGGACGTGTGAGGGGAGATGCCACTGCGACAGCTCCAAGCTTTGGCTTTTGGGGAGGAGGGCCACACTGGCGCCCAGCGAAACCCCTAATCGGGTGTTAAATCGACGTCCTAGGGATCTTGAAAATCATGCCGCTACTTGGCATTCTAAGGCAGGAAAGTGGTTCGTTTGGAAAATGGCATGGGCAGACTGCTTGCCATGTGAAGCAGGCAAGTCAAAACAAGGTGCCAAATGCCAAATCAGAAGCATGAGAAAAGCAATCCCTACTAAGGCAACCAGAGATAGGCATAAGTAGTGCAGCCAACAATCAGGCGCTCTGTAGCCCACTACTCTTGCCATGTCCGTGGCAACCATGCGAGCCCTCCCCCTTGAGAGAGCCCTCGGCAAGCTTGCCAAGATTTACGGGTTTTGCTTGCTGAGATTTGCAGTTTTTATTGGTTGGCCGCAACGGCGATTCGAGGCCTTCCCGAGGCCCCTACCAAGGCCTTTTGAAGCCTTGCCGAAACACGTTCTACGGCCCTACCGAAGTGTTGGAGCACATCCAAGAACACGTTCTGAGGGCTTACCGGTTGCTGGGCGAGAGTCGAGCGCTGCCAAGGCCTAAGTCATGGCCTCGCTGCAAGCAACTGAGCCCAAACCCACGGCACGCAAACAATAAATATGTCATGGTCAGCCAACCCAACCTTAAAAAAACATCCTACCGGGGACAACCCAAGGTTGATTCTCCTCACACTCTGGAGACCCAGGCCTGGATCTCTGGAGGGTAGTGCGGGTTCGACAGCTTCGTCTGCATAAAAAGCCGGAAGTTGGCGTTATACGTGATCTCCTTGCGACTTCGTCGCTTTCCGCGGCCGACAGCGAACGACCCCCACAGGAAGCAGCCGGACATGGCCATATGCTTCTGAAGGAACCCTTAAGAATTGGTTGTTCCTAGGGTCTGTTCCGCCCGTGGCAAATGCCGAAATAGGATCGGAGACGCTGTGACCAACCAACAGCCATGTAGACGAACGTGAAACCATGCTCGTGGCTCTCTCCCCTGAAAAAGCACACAGATATTTCCAGAAGTCATAGATTCCCTTGGAACCCGAGGAATATCCCACATACTCTCAAGCTAATGGATGACAACATGTGGAAGCTTCGCTTGCGAAGGGTGGAAAGCAGGCTTCGATTGGCAGGTGCTCCCATGACACTGTTGCCAAAACCTCAGACTTTGCGCCCTCCAAAATTGATTTATTGAGAGAACAAATAGTTATTCCTTTTTCATCCGGCTGGAGCAGACATGTCAAACAAGCCAAAGCGGGGCCACCTCCGCCGTGCAACTCTGGACGCCTCACTGACGGTTCCGTCCTTGTCCCCGAGCTTCAGGACCCGCGTGCTACCGCGCTTCATGGTGTTGCGAGCGATGACTGGCCTGTGCTCGAAAAAGTCGACCTTTTTGCCGGTTTGATAAAAAAGGGAACACCAAAAAGGCAAAAAGTGAAACCCCAAAGGCAAACGTCTGGCAATGGTTGGGTTTCGCGAATCCAAAAATGGAGACCTTGGGGTCCAAAAGCAAAAAACGCTGAGCCCAGCCACTGCAGCACTGCGTCCACCGACTCGCCCATGTTCTCCACCAGCACGCTGCGCCCCGCCTCGATGGATTGCTCGAAGACCTGGCAAACTCCCCTTGAAGGGTTTTACCGGAATCCATGGGCCCACATGTCTTGATACAGCAAGGTGCCGGTGAGGAGGTGATCTTGTGAAGAGAAGCCTGGGTAGCAACAAGAAGCTTACAGGAGCTTCCTGGCAGTTGGATACTGTTCGCAAACCGCATCACCGTTTGGCTGGCAAATGCGTATTTACCTGTCATATGGTTTTGTCTCTTTGACTCCGTGTCGCGGGTGTTCAGCTTGTCGTCTGTTCAAGCCAAGCTGGTTCGCTCAGAATGGCGCTGAAGCCCTCGACAGCAAAATGGGGAACTTGCCCGCAAGCATCTGAGATCCTGTCTTCGATGCTGACAGCAGTGCTCAGTGGCAACCAATCAAAACCACACAACCTCCAACATGTGCAGTGATTCGATACCCTTAGAATTGCTTGGATGCCGATTTGAGCGCCCGAACACAGCCTGTTTGAAGTAGCCGCGCTTCCAGCCTTGTGACCCTAAGTTCAGCGAATCTGGGGTCCAAAGTTGCAAGAAACAGCCTCTGTCCAATGGGAAGCCAGGATGCGGGTCAAGAGCCTCAAGGATCCAACTCAAAGCCAAACAAGACGGCGCTTCAAACTTGAACACCAACCAATCACGAAAGTGCCTGCACCATCTTGGGGTTGCTCATGCGCGTGATCTGCAGCTTCCGATCCGCCTCCTCGCCACACTCGGGGTCCGCGCGACCAAAGGGACAGCTTGTGCAGAAATACGGAGTTCGCAAGTCAAGGGGACGTTCATACTCACACATATATATATATATGATATATGTATATATATATATATAGATGTGTGTGTGTGTTTGTGTGTTTGTGTGTTTGTGTGTGTGTGTGTGCCTGTGTGCCTGCGTGTGCGTGTGCGTGTGCGTGTGCGTGTGCGTGCGCGTGCGCGTGCGCGTGCGCGTGCGCGTGCGCGTGTGCGCGCGTGCGCGCGTGCGCGGGTGCGCGGGTGCGCGGGTGCGTGGGTGCGTGGGTGCGTGGGTGCGTGGGTGCGTGGGTGCGTGGGTGCGTGGGTGCGTGGGTGCGTGGGTGCGTGGGTGCGTGGGTGCGTGGGTGCGTGGGTGCGTGGGTGCGTGGGTGCGTGGGTGCGTGGGTGCGTGGGTGCGTGGGTGCGTGGGTGCGTGGGTGCGTGGGTGCGTGGGTGCGTGGGTGCGTGGGTGCGTGGGTGCGTGGGTGCGTGGGTGCGTGGGTGCGTGGGTGGGTGGGTGGGTGGGTGGGTGGGTGTGTGTGTGTGTGCGGAGTGACAGAATACCCTGTCACCAACTTCAGGTTTTCACTTTTACCGCAGGGGGATGCTGGGGACCTGTGCGGTCGGCATCCAACGAAGACGCCGCACTTGTCCTGTGATATCGAGGCTGGTCACCTCGACGTACCTGTGCATTTCGTGTGATGCAAAGTCCTTTTGGCCCCCTTGGTTGCGGCGCTGTTTGTGCTTCTTGTTCTTTCGGGTAACGTGTTCGCTGCTAGAAGCCCACTCGAGACTCATCAGTTGTACTCGAGACTCATCAGTTGTACTCGAAAGATTAGCACTCTCCATCTGGAGTTTAAGTGTGTACACCCCATTCGTGGGGAATCCTCGGGTGTACCCATTGTGTGACCCCGGGCCGGCTCTGTCGGAAAATTTGACCTCAACGTGCTTATCATAGAACAGCGGAATTTCACATTTAACCAGGAACGAGGTTTCACTAAAGGGAAGACAGCCGTCAGATCATAGCTACGTCTCACCCTACGTTCTTTCTTCTCGCCTTCTTCATCCGCGTGCCCGTCTTCTGGTTCTTCGCCCGCTTAGGGATGGCTTCTCCTTCCTCCCGTTCTCTTTTTGCTGCCTTTCGTGACCCGCGCGTTCGTCCCGCTCCTGTTCGCCCGCTTAGGGATGGCCTGGTTGTCCTCGCGTTGTTCACCTTTTCCTCGTCTTCGTCTTCGTGTCTGTCTTCCTGTTCCTACTCCTCTTCTTCCTCACGTAGTTTGGCTTGACGTCTTCTTCCCCTTCCGTTGCTACTTCGTGTCCGTCCTCTTGGCCCCTGTGTGGGATTCGACGTCTTCCTCCGCGAGCCTTGGTCTTCATCCTCTGTTCCTGTCTGGGCGGGATGCGTCGCCCTAAAAACGCATAATACTACGACTTCCCTCTTCCTCTTCCTTCTTCCTTCTTTTCTCCTTTTTGTCTCCTTGCCTTCTGCTTCTTGTTCCTTCTTCCCGGGCGGGATGCGGCGCCCTAAAAACGCACCCTGCTCCTTTCTTTTTCCCCCCGGGCGGTTGCGACGCCCTAAATACGCTTTTGTCTCTCTCTCTCTCTCTTTCTGTCTCTCTCTCTCTTTCTTTCTCTCTTTCGTCCCTTTCTTTTCTTTCCTTTCTTTTTCTTTCCCTCTCTGGGCTATCTCTTGTACTTCCTGTTCGCCCGGTTAGGGATGGCCTGTTCCTCTTCTGCCTCTTTGCCTTCGCGGCCCCTTTCGTCTACAAGGTCTAGGTCGTTTTTGCGCGGTTTGGGGTTGTTGCCCTCGGAGACCCGAAACCTGGCTTCCCCGTTGTTCTTGTTTCTTGTTTGGGGTTTTGCCCGCGGTGACCCAACCTGGGGCCTTTCTGTTTCTTTTGGGCTCCCTTGCTCCGTTTGTTTTCTGTTGGGGTCTTCGCCCGGTTTTGGGGCGCGTGTTTTTTCTCCCCCCGAAAAAGTGGTACTCGCCCCTCTTTGAGGGGCGTGTGTGTGCGGAGTGACAGAATACCCTGTCACCAACTTCAGGTTTCACTTTTACCGCAGGGGGATGCTGGGGACCTGTGCGGTCGGCATCCAACGAAGACGCCGCACTTGTCCTGTGATATCGAGGCTGATCACCTCGACGTACCTGTGCATTTCGTGTGATGCAAAGTCCTTTTGGCCCCCTTGGTTGCGGCGCTGTTTGTGCTTCTTGTTCTTTCGGGTAACGTGTTCGCTGCTAGAGGGAAGCCGAGTGCATCGCGAGCAGAACCCACACCCACTCGAGACTCATCAGTTGTACTCGAGACTCATCAGTTGTACTCGAAAGATTAGCACTCTCCATCTGGAGTTTAAGTGTGTGTGTGTGTGTGTCACGTGCACCTGCACATGCAGTTTGAGATATGCTGCTGTTGCTGTTGGCCGGTGTTGTGTGTTTAATTATGTGTTTATGTGTGTTTATGTGCTTTGCTTCTTCTTCTTTGTTTTTGTGTGTGTGTGTCTGTGTGTTTATGTTTTTCTTGTTCCTGTGTGCTTATGTGTCTTTATGTGTGCTTGTTTGTGTGTGTCTGTGCGCGTGCATGCGGCATTGTTTGATGCTTGAGGGTTCCAAATTTGGGGCAATGGTGTTCACACAAAGCCAACAGGAAACAACCCGTTCTAGAGTTCCCTGCTCGCTTTGGACCTTGTTCAGTGGCCAACAAATGAAAATGAGCCAAACCAATTTTTCAGCTGTTGTTCCAAAGGGGTGGTCTCCGGGCATGCGTTGTGCCCGGAAATCCACCTGTCTGAATCCCGGTCCTTCCTTTAAGCCTGGACTTGGCACCCTAATGTTCAACCCAAGTTGAATGGTTTTCTACCAGATTCTACGCTCGTTTTAGTAGACACACATGTGACTGTTCATTCTGACCCTGGATTAATCATGGCGCATTATAGGGGGTGCTAGGTGGTCCGATTCCCCTGCAGAATGGCTTGCACCCTCCCAAAGCAAAACAACCAGGGGTTTCTTCGGTGGCTGAAAGCTATATATAGGGTCTCTACCAAGGCTCAGTGGTTCGGAGAACCTGTTGGGAATGATTCCAGTGCCCATTCCGGCTGGAAATCACCCGTCTTTCCGTTGCTTGCGGCAAGCCGCGGAACCGGTTGCCGATCAGCCGAACCCCCCACCACCCCTGCCCCCCCACCACCCCGGCAATCGCCTGGTGCCGTCCAGTTCACCGCCAGTGGCTTTGGCCTGGTTACTCGCACTGCCGCCGCCCAGCGGGGAATATGCCTCAACGGAGGCCCCCGTGCACGACGTGGGGAGTTCCATCCCCCATGACGAGATGATCACTTTAAAGAAGATTGAGATTTTATTGAAACCACAAGAAGTGGCCCTGAACCCACTGGTTTGTCATGTGTTGAGGCGGGTGTGATTCAAAATCGGATATGAAGCCACATACACGGGCTACGGTTTCCTTTCGGAGTTGCAACAAGCCGAAACTGCACCCTCAAAATACCATGTGCCGATGATGCGGGTCTGACGTCCAAGAATCGGAAGCGCCTCACACAATTTGTGGCGTGGACATTAGTTTCCCCAGGCAAATGGTGCCCTCTCCGACCGCCCCTACACGTTGCACCCAGAGTCAAGAGGCAAAAGAGCCATACGGGTCAAGAGCTCGGCCTTCTGGCCTTCTGGCCTTCTTGGCCCCAGAATTTTCGCGCTTTCGCCTTTCCTCATGACATATGATCATTCAGCTGTCGCATGCTCACAAGGTCGTAGAAGCCGGAATGTGTCAAAGGAAAACCCCCTAACATCGGTGGCTTCCTTTTGGTCTCCCTTTAAACACCACCTCCTCAGTTGCACCTCAAAACCAAAGCTGCGACCCAGCTGGCTCTCCGCCGGGTTGCCAACTCCCCCCGCCGCAAGGAGGAGCGGGGTGAGGGGAGGATCCAAATTCCGTTTGTGGGAACGTGGAATGATGAATGGAATGAGGATCACCCCCTAGTAAAATTTTTAGGGTTTGGGGATGTTGCCAAATGTGACACACCAGGCGCAGCGCTTGGGAAGCGTCTTTCTAACTTGACCTTCCTGTGCCCAGGGCGTACCTACAACGCCAAAGAAACATGAGCGCCCCGCCCTTTCCAAGAGGGTCCTCGAAATCCCCGCCCACCTCCACCACAATGCCCTGGTCCCGGCAGAATTGGATTGTCCTTGGGCTTGCGGTCAGCGGGCGCATGTGCCAAAGCTCCGACTCTGTGGCCCGTGGTGATGGCTCCCTTCATAGGAGCTATTTGCGTTTGTTTCACACGTCACATCCAAGCTTACAGTGCTTATTTCACGATTACCTTTCCTTTTGGATTCCAGGCGGGGGACCAAAAGAAAACCGAATTCTTGGAGGTTCCTCTAGATATCTCAACATCACAAGCACTCCAGGGAGTTGAAGGAGCAATGCCAACTCCACGTCTTAAGCATGGCTCTAAGAACGCTTGGGTGTGTCTTTGTGTTTTTTTTTTCAATGGGACCCCCTAAAATGGTGGCTTTCCTTTTGGTTTCCCTTGAACACCAACCAAAATAGGGTTCCCACAGACCCGGTTTCCCCCAAAAGATGAGTGTAAGATTCAATCGGTCGGACCCTTGGGCAATCCTGTGACACTGCTTTGCGGGAATCAATCCATTGAAACTTTGGACAGTCCCTTCTTCCCCCTGAGGGACATGGGACATGGGACCCTGTGTGTCCAAGCTCAAACTCGCTTTTTGGCCCCTTTTGGATTTTGATTCGGGGTCCCAAAATGGCTGCGTATTTCAAATGGGGGGGGATCCGGCTTCCTTTTGGCTCCTTTGAAGTAAAAGGGGACCCTTACAACAAAACAGACCCAAAAATTGGTTGAAAGTTGAAACTTCAAGAGCCGAGCGCTCGGCTCGGAGGGCTGGTAGAGTGGATGCACCTCCTGGGGAAGTCTCTCGGAAGCGGAACTTGATGGTTGTGTCAACACTTTCTATGATTCCAAAAGCCGGATTCCCGGCCCCATGATGATTGCTGTGTCCGTTCTATGATACCTTGTTTGTGGTTCTAAAAGGGGAAACCAAAAGGAAAGCTATCCATTTTGGGGGTCCCCCAACAAAAGACATACCCATACTGCTTTGGGGTCGAATTCCATCTCTTCCGCTGCTTTGCCAGCTTCAACTGAAATTCTCTCAACTGTGCCCACAACTGGGCTCGCATCGAGATTCACAAGCTATTCCCAAAGCGATACCTGGAGGGCCTTTCACGCATGCGGACCTCTAAAAGCCTTCCACTGCCGTGCTGCTCCAGCTCATGTTGCTTGGCGGGTAACTCCCAGCAATGCAATATGGCCATGGGTCAAACTTCCGTACCCCCAGTGAACATCCCAATCCCCACTAAAATAGACTAAAATGGGTGGTGCACCTATCCCACAAAAGTACCATTGGTTTTGAACCATGGCCATATAGGGCATCTTGATAGAGCTGCGCAGCCTCATCTTTTCCCTCTCAAACTATCCAGAGGGGTTGCCCCATCGAACAGTCCTGGATCTTGCACTTCCAACACCAACACAGAACCTCAAGATCACCCATAAAGACATGACGCTTCGGCAAGGGAACCTGTTTGGGGACTGCATGCCGGTGTCCAGCAATCACTTGCTTTTCTTACCCTCCGACCCGAACATGGATGTGCGCAAACTCCCTTAAAGCGGAGCCCTGCACCAATCCATGATGAAACCATGATGAAACCTGTTTTGTGTTTTAAAAAGGGGAGCCCTGCACCAATCCATGCTGGGAGGGTGCTCCAAATGTCCAGACCTTTGAACTCCTTGGATTCCAACCTGGCCGTTTTTGGTGCCGAGTTCCGCCCTTATGTACCCATTAATAGTTTCAAGCAGAACTGAGGGCAATCCTCTTTCGGTATGTTTTAATGAAAAAGGATGCCGGCCCCTCATTTTAAGATGACCCAACAAGTCGAACATGGGTGTCTCAAAATAAGGGAACCTTCAAACTGGATCATTCTCCCTTGTTTTCCCTTCAAACCAACACGGGTACCCTCCAAGGACCAGAATATCTGCCGGTTTTTTGGACGAACATGGCCACGACATGAGCCCCTCCAAACCCCCGGCTGAGCTTGCGGCGATCTGATTCACCATGGGCTTCACCTCCACCCCGTCCTCGAAACTCGACGCGAGGCTTCGAGGCTTCGAGGCTTCGAGGCTGCGAGGCGGAGCCCGGCCGTTTCCGTCCGCTTCACCGCTTGTTTTTTTTTTTTGTGGGGGACGGTCCCCCAAACCCTTGGCATGGAAGCAAAAAACGGTCTGTGTTGCAGCCCCCCACTCAAAATGAAGAGAGCCGGACAAGCCGGAAACAAAAAAATGGCAACAACAGTGAAGGAGATCTAGTGCGTGCCCAATGTCCCTACCGAGTGGACCATAGATTTCTGGTCATTCTAAGACTGAACCTCGCAGGGGTTTGGTTTTGTGTCAGGATTCCAGTAACAAATCAGCTTCCCTCAAATCTGTGCTTCGGATTGGCGGTTCGGCGTTTGGGGGTTACCAATCCAAGCCATCAATTATGTCTTGCCTGAGTAAATGCTCAAAAACCACGCACCCTTGTGGCAAACAAACCCTCCACCTGATATGAAACAACATCCGCCGGTCCATCAGTGTGATCTCCAGCGCTTGGCATTGCGGCGCATAGAAGTGCCTGAACTTGAGCGTCTTACTCGAAGGGCAAGCCCCTAATTCTAGCCTTACCACAGCTATCACAATCGCCCTTTCATGAAATTCGGGAATCCCTGTTTGGGTGACTTGTTCAATGGGCTCGAACAAGTGGGGTCCGTTCAAATGCTGAAAGAAAACAGGTTGACTCCCCATTCTTTTCAACCATCGTTCCTCCCAAAACCGGCCGTTCTCCCGAGGTTTCTCGAAATTTCGCTTTGGTGCAAGCCTTCTAGAAGCACTTGTAGCAGACCGGGTCCTCCCTTCAAACTTCAAAGCGGCGTCCTCCAACAACTGCTGCAAGTGCTGCGCCGTGAAGTTGCTCACGCCGATGCCGCGCACCAAGCCTTGCCTGCGCAAAAAAAAACCAGCTCGGCAAAAACGCCGTTTAGGCTGGAAGGAACCGGGAACTCAGTTGGTCAGTGACCCTGGAGAAAAAAAGGGAACCCTTTTTGGGGCTTGGACCATTTTTAGTGGGGCAGCCACCAAAAAAAAAGGAAAAAAGTGCCACTGAACAACTGAGCGGCGTTCCAAAGGTATTGTTCAAATTTAGGTCGTAAGGAACTCTTACGCCAAGGTGCTTGCGCGAGCTTACACGCAATACAGGTTTCTTACGCGCTTGCATCTCTATATATATATATATATATAAGCTTCCCTTGCGCAAACCTTGCGCGCGGCTCCCGCAAAAACAGCTCGCGCACGGGCGCGCGCACCACATTTTGCCCCCGGCTCCTTTCAGCAGCTGGTGGTTCGAGCCCGAGACCTTTCCCAGACCGCGCAGCCAAAAGCATGCGCCAGCCAGTTGTGCCACACAGCTGCGCCGCGGGGAGCCGAACCCAAAAGCAAGAAAAACAGCAGCCTGCCAAATGCCCAAAACCAAAAACCGCACACCAATTCCTTTTTGCGCTTTCCACTCCAAACGTTTTGCCAGCTAACTAGCCTCAAAGAGGCATTTGTGACATGCACTAATTCCGATTTTTGGGTGTTTGAGCCTACCAAGACATTCCAGGTGCCCAAAACCAAAAACGAATTAGCGGCGCGCACTACTTCGTTTTTGCGTTTTCCACTCTCCAGCAACGCTTTGCCAGCTAACTAGCCTCAAAGAGGCATTTGTGACATGCACTAATTCCGTTTTTGGGTGTTGGAGCCCCTACCCAGACATTCCAGGTGCCCAAAACCAAAAACGAATTAGCGGCGCGCACTAGTTTGTTTTTGCGTTTTCCACTCCCCAGCAACGTCTTGCCAGCTAACTAGCCTCAACGAGGCATTAGTGACATGCACTAATTGCGTTTTTTGGCGTTTGAGCCTACCAAGACATTCCAGGTGCCCAAAACCAAAAACAAACTAGCGAAGCGCACTAATTGGTGCCCAAAACCAAAAACGAATTAGCGGCGCGCACTACTTCGTTTTTGCGTTTTCCACTCTCCAGCAACGCTTTGCCAGCTAACTAGCCTCAAAGAGGCATTTGTGACATGCACTAATTCCGTTTTTGGGTGTTGGAGCCCCTACCAAGACATTCCAGGTGCCCAAAACCAAAACAATCCGCTTACGCCTACGCGACAAACTTTCCTCGCAAAAAAGCTGGCGCGGCCTCACGCTGCCATGTGTTTTCCTTACGCAGGGGGCCCTTATGACCACCCCCTTTCAATCGCAATACAACCAGGTTTTGAACCCTGCTCAACTGAGGGAAAGAAGGCAACTTGTTTGAAGCTTTATTTTGAAGCGTACCAAACCAGTAGAAGGGCGATTCGCTTTGGGCAAGTGAGAAAATGCTTTCGCCCCTTTGCTGCGACACCAGCACTTGGGTGCTGATTGATGTCAAAGAAGAAAAAACTGCCGGCTGAGAAGCAAGTCTCCGGGAAGCAATCCTTGTTGATTTGGGCTAGGTCCCCCAGTAGAGAGCTTCGAATCAGGGTACCTTTTTTTCTGTAGTCTATTTTAGCAGGAGAACCCTCCCGCCAAAAAGAAACGGGAGAGAGGTCGGGCACCAATTTCTGGGGGACCCCGAAAGTGGGCGTTAAAGTAACCCTGGCGGCCCCGAAAGATGGCTGGACGGGGGGGTCCTCTATTTGGCCAAGGGTCAAACTTCCGTACCCCCACCAGGAAACATCCCAATCCAACCACTAAAATAGGTTCTAGAATGCCAAAATGGGATACCATTGGTTTTGACCCACAGCCATTTTGAGAACCCGCCCTGCTGAAAACTTAAATCAGCCGACCGACTTGGGCTGACCTTGAAGGTTTGCAAAACCCCACGCAAGGCTTGACCTGGAAGGCTGCCTTGCATTCCAGCTCAATCGCCTTTTGCTTTTTGGGTTTGCGAGGGGGTCTCCAAACAAAGGGATTTGTGTCCTTCTCCAGTGGACTCCTTAGATGCCCAGTTGCGACCGGAAAAAAGCGGGCATGTTTTTTGGTTGGTTGAGTTTAAAGGAATCGGAACCCTCGGGCACCCGGAATCTAAGAGGCCCCCCGTTCTGAGAATCAACCTGGTGAAATAAGATGCCCCCGATTCCGGCCTTTGAGGTGTCCGAGATTGGTTGGGGGTTTGTACAGGTTGCCCTCTACAACTCGCCAGGCTGGCTGACCCCTTGCTTGTTGTTTGAATCACTTCAAAACTCAAATTGCTGCCGTCCTAGCACTACATTAAAGCCGGGGAGAACCCATCAAAGCAAAAGGATCAACCCTCGGATAAGGTGCATCCAAAAGGAACCAATGCGGTCCCCGGAAGCTCATTTGAGCCACAATCAAAACCTGGGTAGATGAAGGCTAGTAAGGGACGATCCCAGCCATAAATAGCCGCGGCCGCTTTCTTAGTTCTTTACGTGGTTCTGGGTAGACCATTTTAGTACCAGGTTTTGATTGCGACTCATTTGGGTGTGATTTTTAATGGGGAACCCTGGGCCCGATCCATGTGTCCAACCACGTTCTCCCCAGTAAAGTGTTTTCTCTGTTTTTGAGGGGAGCCCGCCCACAATGGGGCTTTTTAAACCAACCCCAAACAACGGTACCCTGAAAAGCAGACATACCCAATGGATCTAACCTTGAAAAGTTCATGGGTGTTCTAATGCTTTCCATTGAAATCGCCACTTTTGGAGGTTCCATCAAGACCCCGCCCCCCACCCCCCCCAAACCCAAAATTGCGGTCTTCCTGTTCTTCCAACCAACCCCAAAAAACACGGAGTACCCTGACCAGCACACAGACCCATTCCGCCCGCCGCCATTCCGCGCTCGCCCGCATTTTCGCCTGTAGAGCTCCTCCAAGGCCCGCCAGGTCTGATGCCGCGCAGCGCGGTGCAGCGGCGAGCCGTGGGGTTTCTTGGGCAGCGCCTGACGCGGAACGCGCCAGGCGCTGCGGTCGGAATGCGCCGCACGAGTTGAGGAAGAGAAGCGGAGAAGGGAATCACCCGCTGGTTTTGGGTGGGTGGGGTTGGCGGGTTGGTTTGGAGGGGTTGGTTTGCTTGGCGTGTTGGTGGCCTGTTCCATATTTGGGTCTAGGCAGACCCTAGAAATGGTTTGACCGTGTTCTTCTGGCAGGGCCGGGCGTCAAAACAAGTCTGGGGGCCGCATTGCAGAACTTGAGGGAGCCAGCATGATGCCACCCCTTGAAACAGATAGCTGCATGGAAGCCCCGGTGTCCCCCCCTCATGTTCATCAGTTGATTTGGCTTGGAAAGGGGAGAACGGACATGATAGAAACGTGCCTGAAATCTCTCCTGGAAACGGGCCAATTGTGTCGTTGGGCGTGGGCAAGACGTTCAAAACCCAGCGAAGTAATGGCCCGTAACAAGCAAAAGGTCGAATGACAAGGCATGTTTGAGTCCTTTCTTCTTCCATACCTATTGCACAAAGAAAATGGATCTATTCCACGTGTCTGTTCAGCCGATGGACTCGTGCAATCACCGTGGCGTGAGCTTTTTCTGCTGTCCCACCATCTGGCAGGGTATCTACCCTTGGTGAGAGCGGCTTCAACCTATGGTTGGCCGACAATTGACCAAGTGACTGCAAGTACGAGTAACAAATCGTTTGAACCCGAACACCCCTCCCTATCCATGCAGTGGCGGAATGAGGACTGTTCACTAATGTGTAAATATATATATATATAAGAAAGGAAGCAGGAAGAAAACACACGTGCTTTCTGGGACATTACGAAGACAGCTGTGTTTCTTAGCACCCAGCAGCCAAAACAGAAGCTGCGTTCACCGGATTCCCGGATTCCGATTCCCGGATTCCCAGCCCAGCGGCTGGCCAATGGATGAGATACAAGTCCAAGGCCTTGCGACCTAAGCTGAAGCCAAAGCCCTCGAACCATTCGCCCCGACCCGCAGAGGATATTTGGGAGGGTCGACCTCCACTCTAGTGAGCTGGCCAAAAAAACTAAACTTCTATTTTGCCACTCAACTGATCTTCCCCAAAAAGCATAAAAATGTCTGGCTGAATTATGATATTTCACGAACCTGAAATAAGGAGCACACAAACCACCATGTGGGGTGAATTCGGTCGTGTGAGGCCGTTATACTTCACCCAGAAATGTCCAACTCAGGGAGCGAGTTTCTGCTTTCGATTTTTCGGCTCCCGAGCCGCGCATGTCTTCGATCCGAGGCGGGGGCCCAAACGCTGCAGGGATTGCCGGCAGGCGTCCATGGCCTTCGTTGCTCGCCGCCCTTTTTGGGGCGGCTCCCAAAGGCTTTTGGACCCAGGTGATCAGCTTTTTGGGGTCGCTACTTCCCCTTGCGGATACGTGCCCTGGAAAGAATGACCAAAAAAATAGTAGTGATAGATTATCTTTAAAGCCAGCAAGATACATTGCAGAATGTTCTTAAGTAGATGCAGTTGTTGGGGCCGCTTAAAATGGACCATAGGAGGCCAAAAGGTCAAAAGGTCGATTTGCTTTGGACAAGTGAGGGTTGGTAATTACTTTCGTACCCTTTGGGCGGATACCCAGTTTGTCAGTTTGTCGGAGTTGGTAGCCCATTGCGGTTGGAAATCAAAGAGGAACCAAATGCCAGCTGGTCTACAGAAACCTAAAAGAGTCTCCCTACTTTCATTCTTGTAGCACTCTGTTCACCTTTTAGCCTCTCTCTGAGCACTCTTTTAGTCATAGAACCAGGATTTGAGCCTGCAACCTTGCACAAAGCGCAGTGCGCGAAGCCTAGAGAGAACGGAAGCCTATGATGCAGACGCATAGTGTGGTGCAAAACTGCAAATGGGTTTCTTGGGAATAACATAGCATATCTACTCTTGGTATGGTAGCAAAACACTTTGTTTTTTGCAGACCCCCAGTAAAAATGAACAGAAACAAAAAACTAAAAAACACAAAAAAACAAAAAACATGCCAAGACCAGTGAAGATTGACTTCAGTTTCATCCAACTGTGCTGATCAGGGGTGGCTCCCTGGGCGGTTCCTCCGACTAGGGCAGGGCCGTTCCTCCGTCCGTGACCAGGGCAGCTCTGGCTCAACACATGTTTGATGTCCTTTTAACGAAAACATACTTTGTAAACACCTACCTGATTGTTCCAACACCAAATTCGTTGAAACAACTGAAGCTTCCACATCTGTGGTTTAAGCGCAGTTTGCCCGATTTTGGCGACTATATTGAGACATCCTTCAAAGCCTTCTTAAAACTGTGGGACCCCATCCAGCTGATTCCCCTTGGTTTCTTTTCCTTCTGACCATAGTACTGTCCTTTTTGTCTTCTTTTGAATTGTTTGGCTTCCCTTTGGTTTCTTTCTTGCTTCCTTTTGGCGTTCTTTGGCTCCACTCTGCTTGAGGTGCTCCTGTTGGACCAGCTCGACTGACTCGTCAAGACGCGTCTGCAGAAGAGCACCCACTTGCCGGCAAGCTTGGCAAGTGCCCAGGAGGTGGAAAGGTACTCGAGGGCCTTGCCTTGACTTGTGAGTGGGCGATTTCCCAACGACGCCACACGCCTGAGAAGCAGGAGAGCTTAAAGGCAGAAGCCACAGGCAGCACGATGAAAGAATGCTCAGACAGGCCCAAATTTGTTTGGGGTGTAGATTGAATCTATTTGCATTTCTTGCGTTGCGCTAACGGGAAGGGAAACCGATACATTTGCCCCGGAGGGGGTCACACTCATGTAAGACCAACCCATCTTGTGACAGTCCAAATAGGGGAGCTCTACAGCATTGCAAAAGGTGACACGCATCCAGAATAAATATTCAAATAGACAACTCCAAGGCGGTCGGGAAAATTGACCAAAGATCCGCCCCCCTTGGGCTTTCTTCGGGTGAAATGGGCAATTATATCCTATCGTTCGCCTTTGCCAGCAAATTTAGAGGATCTGAATCCTTGCAACGCAGCTGGCTTTTGGATGCATCCTTTACTGCCTTGCAACAATTCGCCTGGAAACTGAAACAGGGGTCCCTCAAAAAGCAACTTTCCTTTGCAAATGGGTGCGTTTGTGGTTTCATTTGTTGATCTTGCGGGGAGCAGCCCCCAAGCAACAGGAAGGCGGCTCACTTGCGCCTGGTCAAAGCCCATCTCATAGGGCGAGCACTTCGAGGTCACGAAGACGTCTGACGGAGAGGGAGGTATCCAAATCGCATGTCGTGGGTCGTTGATCCCTTGCTAGGTTGACATTTCTTGCGGAATATGGCATAAATCCCCTTCTTCTAAACTCAGAAAGTCAAAGCCATCAGGTATGGAAGTGTTCCTTAAACGGAACCACTCCAATGCTTGTCCAAATTCTCCAAGGGACTGATGACCATCCCGTCAAATTTAGGTTTGCCGACTTCCTGAAAGCCATGTTGAGACTTGTTTTTGTGCTCTGGGAGTTTCTTGGGCTCTGGGAATCAACTTGGGAATGAACTGGACGGAGATCACCAAATGCTGTCCTTTACTCTTTCACTGAGCAAGGAAAGGACTGGTCCAAACTTCTTCCCTGCCGCACAAACGATCCTCCGGAAAAAGAGAGTAGAAACCAATTACCGGGTCTCGGAGTAAGGTATGTCTCTTTCGAGCTGGTCAACCCAAGCCCCATTTTGGGGTTTCCTCATTTGGGGACACACGTCTCAACAAGCCTGGTACACAGGTCTACTCGAAAATTGCAAAGAATCCACAGGCCGGATATCCGCACTGTACGGCTGGGTATACACACCCGTAAGAATACTGTCATAAACGCTTTGGGAAGAGGCGCCCAGGAGGTGCCAGCTCGGCGCGTTTCGGGGGCCAGGGCCCAGCTTGCAATGCATCGGGATTCAGGTGAAGAATTGGCGACCAAAACTTGAACAGGGAACCACCTCACTTGAGGAGCGGGTGAACGAAAGCTAGCAGTTGTTGCATGAGATGGGTCGGTGACAGAGTGGATTCATAGGTAGCTTGTGTACAACGAGAGGCCCGGAAAGATTCGTAGGATGCGACACGCAAACGCATATGGTGGCGTGGCAAACCTTGAAAAATGAAAACAACGAGAGGCGTCAGAAGCTGTCTGAAAGCACCTCTGGGTTCTGCATGCTGCGTGTGCAAAGATTCTTGCGAGGTGGTTTACCGAGAAGACTGAGGTCTCAAATGAACAAGCTGAATCGGTGGAACATGTAAAAGTTCGTAGCACCAAGTCCAAAACGGGCAAACCGAGACTGCTGAACACTGAGCCACTGCCCGGGGGGGGGGGGGATGGACCAGGGAGGAATCGAGCCTGAGACCGGGGGGGGGGGGGAGGGGGGGGGGTCTAAATAATTGATGTTTTTCAATCTTTTCGGCTCAAATAATTGAAAAAATCAATCTTTCGGCATTTGAGCCCCTTACCTTGCTTACGCAAGGAGAAACTTCAGCTAGCTAAAGCTAGCTTTCGTGAAAATTGGGACATCAATCCCTGAATTGTGATGACCAAAGGGCTCCCTATGAAAGCTAGCGCTCTGGTATTTCTTTTTGGCCTTGTCGAAGGGTCAAATGTCTACAGGCGGCACCTATTGCCCGGGACTGTCCCATTGCCTTCACTTGCCGTGGCTCAAATGCCCACAAGACACCGGATCTCGGGCATTGGCAAACCCCATGCCTCGTTGCAATTTAGTCTGTGATTCCCTTTACCAAAGCTTGTGTCATTACCCATTTGCTAAACTTAGTGGTTCGTTGATCCTTTGCTGAAAGTTAAGCTTTTATCGGGATATGACAAGAAATACGTCTAAACTCTGAAAGTCTTGAAACGTCTAAGGGTATGTGCCAATTGAAGGTGGTGAATGTGAACACTGTTCACCGTTTCTCGGCTGCTACAAAACCAGCTGCCTGTCAACCTTGATAGCTCTGAAGAACGCACAGTGGCAAGGTCCCGCAGAATGATAGCCTGCTGACACATATACACAATCTGTCTTAGCAGCGGCCAAAAAATAGTTGCATCTTGTCCTTACTCCAAACCTACCTTTGTTTTTTTTGGGGGGGGCTTTGCCTGCGCGTTGCATTGTCAATGAGCGAATCATCGCTCTGCGCGTCAAGAGGTGGCATGTTTGAACAAGATGGACCCTCCACATGGTCGGTTTCTCATGCGAGCAGCTAACAATACGGTCGCTGGAAAAAGCCCAAAGCCAGGTGCCCAACGCTGTGGGATCGATGAATCTCTAGGAATACGGGGACACCACACCTGGTGCAGGATGTTGCCTTCCACAGTCTGAACAAAAAAACGATAGGGGCTTACCCAGAACCGATACTCCTCAATCCACAAAACCGACAGCCCACCCAAGACGGATATCCTGGTCATTCGTTCGCTTCTCACGTCAGTGTTGGGCTGTTGCCCTAACCAGAACTAGCATTTTGATTCTGGCCCATTGTGAAGCTCAACATGTAAGATGCTGACAGAGATCCTATATAGAAAAAGGGGTGACACAGCGCTGCGCGTATTTCCTCTTAATGCGTCTCCCGATCGAAAGCAAGCTCGCACCAACTGGCCCAAAGGCAACGCACATGTGGGTGTTGTTTTTTCTTCTTTTTCTGGGTAGGTGACACAAAGAACCACACCTGGACCGATTTCCAAACTCCAAGCTGTTGGTTGTGGGTTTGCTTTGGTTGAGGCCCAAGGCTGTGTGGTTGTTTGCCTGTTGGTTTCCCCAAACAAACCACACAAAGGGCGGGTACCCCCAAGAAAAATGGTTTTCCCCTTGGTTTCCCTTGAAAGCCACCCAAAGGGAACCCCACCCAAAGGCAAACATCTGAAACCTGTCCCATTTCTTTCCGCTTCACACAGGGGTCACTGGATTTCCCCAGATCCATGTACTGGTGGTTCCCACTAAAACGATCGCCACTTTTGGCGGTTCCAAAAAGGGAAAGGGAGGAACCCCTGCCCAAAGAAAAAGAAAACAGGGTGCCACTGAACAATTGGGATCTCGAAAACTTACGTGGTTGGCTGGAAATTCGCGTGTCCAAGCAGGAGATACCGACCGAAAGCCGACCGGATCTGGAAACCCTGCAAACACATTGTCCTGTTTGAGGCTACCATTTTGTAAAGGGTTGGAAGGGGCCACCAAACCCCAGAGGGTCCAAGTACCTCATGAGGATGGCTTTTGGGGGGTAAGAAGGGGTCCTTTGGGACCTCCTTAGAAGGTACCAAGGGACCCTCTGGGAAAGGACCAAAGACACCCAAACGCCCCACCCGGTTTTTCGGTCAAGGTACTTGGACCCTCTGGGAAAGGACAAAGACACCCACCCACCCAACCCCCACCCAACCCCCCCCCCCTCCCGGTCGGCTTCCTTCTTTTCCCGCGCCTTCGCCGCCCTTCTCGGCCCGCTGCAGCGCCCGTCCGAGCGCCGCCTCGTTCTTGTAGATGGAGGCGGTGTCAAAAAGCCGATAGCCTGCAGGGCTCCACTTCGTGTGGTTTTGTGGAGGGCACCTCTTTCGTTCAGGGGGTCAAAGGGAATCCAACAGGAAAGCCGTACATGTTTGGGGGTCCCACCCCAACTAATAGTTTGCTCCTGTTAATCGCGACTACAATGGGTTTTAAGTACCACAACGAGTTGTGGGGTACTTGGAAACCAATTTCAGCCGTGACAAGTAAATGATAAGTAGGTTAAACCCCCCAGATCAGTGGTTTCCTTTTGGAGTCCGGCAAAACACCCCCAATATAACCCCCCAAACAAAGACACAGCCCTTTGAAAGTGATGTTTCATTGGGGACATCACTTTGGTGGGGATTCATGTTAACCACTTTTGAAGTGGTTCCTATCTGGGCTGTTCAAATTCGAGGTTGGCCAGTCATAATCCATAAATCCCTATACAGAAGCCAAGGAAAGAATTAAGGATTGCCTTTGAACAGCCCAGCCTTCTAGAATGCATGGCCATTTAAATGATTGGCCAACAACAGAAACCAAACTGTCTGCTTGCCACAAAAATGGTCCAAACCCAAAAGTGACCAAGGTCCAGAAACTCGTGGAGTGAGAGAATACATGGCCATTTGCACGGTTCAGACACTGCTTCACGGCACTCAACGGTTCCGTCACCTCGGGCACCAAGCGCCGCGCCTGCGTGCAAGGCTTCGTGCACCGCCGCTTCCTCGGACTGGAGAGCGGTGAAGTGACGCGTTCAAATCTGTGGGCCGCGGTTCTAAACTTGCGGCGATAGGCAATGATCGAGTTTGGGTGGGAAGGTAGCAATGAACCGGTTTTGGGGATTTTTCTCCCAAACCATGGATGATGGTTTATCTCGGGGTCATTCCCCGCCTATCGAACCAGCAAGTAAAGGGAACCTAGTGGTACATGACCCTTCGCCCGACACAGGATCAATTGGGTTGGTGTGAAGGGGCGCCAAAGAGACATTCAAGCTCATTTTGGGCTGTGCCAGTTTACCCCCGCATGCCCGAACGGTTCAGGTAAAGAAAATGGGAAAATTAGGGCTCGTCCCAAAACTGAGTGAGTCCGTCAACAGTATACATTGCAACCCAGCACGCAAAGCCAAGATGGTGGGGGGGGGGGGAGTTTATCAATCCGATATAGGACTTACATCTTTTCTACCATCATCAATTTAGCACAGGGCAATCATAAGATGCACCGAAGGTTGACCCAGCTGCCCGCTTCCCCACAAGAATCTCTGGCATCCCCGAAGTTTCTCTCATGATCGTGCCTTGGCACTCACTAGTTCCGCAGAACTGCGACGTGCAGTAGCTTCACAGTGATTGACGCTAGCCGTTGATTCAGAGCCACAAGGGAAGTCAGATGATTACAGGTGCTCTCCCAGAAAGCAAAGGTTCATCTCGAAAATGAGACTCTGAGACACCCATATTTCATCAACTAAAAGTTCACGTTCCCCGGAGTTTCTCCGGGTCGAAATACGACCTTTTGACAGCATTTCGAATTGTTCAGGTCCCACAAATAGCCATCAAAGCGAGTGTCCGCTGCAGTGGACGCCTCACATTGAAGAAGTCAACACCCAAGACCCAAAAGTAAGCCCCGCTGCGACTCGACTGGGTGAATCACGCAAAAGGCCACGTTGGCTCCCTGCCGCTTTTCCAACTTATCTCCAAGATTCGCAGGACATGGCGCCATCCTGCCGAAAAGTTGGAAGGCACCTTTTCTTAGTCGACGTTGGAAGGGGAGCAAAAATATAAACTTTAGCAGTTAAGTGGGGATTTTCCACTAAACCACATTAAGCAGAAATGCAAACTGTTTCCGAACAACAACCCCGTGACTTGGAGACATGGCCCAGTGACCTTACGCTTGTGTATTCTGATGAAAAACACCGTGTGTTTTTGGGCAGCTTGGCCGCTGCTCTTCGTGCGCCAAGGCTTGCGGAACCACTGGATCTAGTGGCGTCTATGAAGGGGGAGGACCGTGACCGCAGGCCCAGACTTCGCAGCAAGCCGGCCAACTGGGGGGAATGGTTTATTCCCATAGGAACCCAAGTCGGGCTGTCTTGTTTAGGCGGTTTGCATCTTGGTTTCCCTTTGACACCACAGGGGTAACAAAAAGGGAGACCCAAGTGGCTTCCTTGGCTTCTGTTTACATAGATGCTTTAAGTAGGTGACCGACCCCCTGAAAGAGATCTCTGTCCTTTCAGACTCCTTTCAGTGTCCTTTACAGCAGCAACCCACAGGGGATTCACCACTAACAGGGTGGGTTGTTGGCCTACCCAAACAAACACGTAGGAGTCCTATTCTAGTTTGCAGAGACCTCAAAGGGGTTAAGTCTCTTTTGGGGGGATGCACAGGAGCTCCGCTTTTTGATGCAGACCTTAATACTTGCGCAATGTTCTACCCTGAACCATAGGGTTCAACGCCATTAAACGAAAGGATGACCAAACTTGGATGATGACAATCCTTAGGTACAGAAAAGCGGTTCTGTGAACCCCACCATTGTTTTGATGGTGGTCTCTGAACACCAAACTGAGCCAGGCCGGATCTTCATTTTCCATTTGCCCAGTGGCTGAGGCTTGGGCATGAGAAGTTAAACCAGGGGAGCCGAAGCGAAGGAGACCCCCGTTGGGTTCCATGGCAACCTCCCCCCAAACCAAAGGGACCCAAAGAGGTCGGTTTTTGGAGGAACGGGGCTCGCCCAAGGCGCCGTGGTTCCCCAAATTATAGGAGACCCCCAAACCGGTTGGTTTCCTTTTATAGTTTCCCCTCCAAACCAACCCCACAACTTGCTGGTGCGTAGGTAATGAGGGAATGACCCTGAGACAAACCATCCAACTGGTGGTTCATTCCTTCATTGGCCACCTGTCGCAAGCATAGGTGTCCTTTTGGCAAAATAGATGACCAAAAGGAAGATGATTGAACCACCAGGTAACCGCCCTCTTTTTTCTCAAACCAAAGAGGCCACCTATGGAATCCCACTGGTGGTTTCCGTTCGGGACCAAAGTCTGGCTTCATTCCTTCATTCCCTACTTATCCCAAGGCTTTTCTGAAAAAACAAAGAAGAACAAAAAGGATGAGCCGCCCACTGCCCATGCCCCGCATGCCCCATACTCCGCGCCTGGTCCGTGAGCTGCCATGTCCCAAAGCCCACGCGCGGTAGCTCCAGGCCATTGGCGAGATGCAGCGAGCCTCGGCTCTCGAGGAAGTGTTGCGTTTTGCCGTCGGCGAATGGCCGCTGGGGTGGGATCCGGACGAAGTTGAGAGCGCCAGTCTAAATGAGTTGGGGGGGGTGTTACTGTGTTGAGGGGGGGTGGGTTGGGTTTAGTGGGGGTTGAAATTTAGGCAACCCCATTTTAAATTAAAAAGGGGGGAGGTTTTTTTGGGCTTAGTGGGGCATCATCACTTGATTGCTAATAGGGGTGTCCCCGGGGTTTAATGAGGAACCACCACGTTTGGAGGGTGCCCACCCGGATGGGTGTTATTTATCCGGGTCAGCATTGCTTTTGAATGAGCTCGATGGGGGCTGTGGCGAGGTCCGGCTGCTGAAATGAAGAAGGGAATTATCGTACCTCTGAAGGTCTGGATTGTCCTCTTGCAATGTCAGGCATCTCCCCCCTCACAACACCCCAACGCCCAAACCAATCTGCACAAATGCCACAGTGCCCAACGGCCAAAGATCGCTCACGCGGAACCATCCCCTTCCAAGGCACGTGGCAGCGAAGGCTCCTCGCTTGCCGAGTCCTGACAACGCCAAACGGAGTCACATCTCGGCGAATGAAGACTAATGTAAGGGCCTAAACAATTAGAATGGGGTTCAGGGTCACTTCAGAACCAAACCAAATCACGATCATAGGAGCGAGTGATTGGTAAGTGTTTGAAGCCCCTTGTATTAGATGGACGGCTGATAAACGGTCCTGCTGGAGCTCTGACCCGTTAAATTGGATCGGCACATGGCGGCACAACAAATTGCACTTGGAACAGGTCCGGACAGCAGTCGGTGTTTCTCAAAGAGGAGAATCGACCTATTTGTGGTATGTTCCCTTCTGGTAATCCCTTTTCACCGTCCACAAAGGCCTGGGTGCAACTTTTTGAGAAACCCCCAGTGCTGATTGTTGGCCGATTATTTGATCCAAGTCTTTACAGCCACATGTTGGGCCTTGGAAAGCAGCAAGCGAGTTGCCAGATCCCCCTTTTGCCCATCTCTGAGCACTTGATGCCATGGTGTTCTGCTTGCACAAGACATGTTTATCCCAAAGTCACGTACCACCTTCTTGCGCGGAACAACAAGGGCAACGAAGGCATTTGAGGCAACCACAAGACTTACTTGCGCAACAAGAATCGGGGATTGGATAAGAGCAGGGATAGATTCTGCTATGGCAGGTAAGTCATCCGCAAGTCTTCTCTCGCAACATTTTCACCCTGCCTTCCCCAGTTCCGGCTTGGTTTTGCTACCAGCACCCAAAGCCAAAGGAGGTTTAGCTCGGTGCAAGTTGAAAAGGAGTTCGCAAGGGCTCAGTGTTTATTGACGCATCCACCTCCTGAATGAGAGCCAGACTGAAACCACTGACTCGGTGACATCTATGTCAAACCCATCAGCCAGTTTCGCGGGGGGGTCCTATCAAGGTTTGCAGATGTAATCCGAATATGGGAAGACCCAAAACTTAAAGGGCGCTATTGCTCTCCACAAACCGGCCCCAAGGGGCCTTCTCGATGGTCTCTTTAGAATCAATTTCGCAGGGTGGAGCCTCTTGGATCGCGACCGATGGATGGTTCAGGGTCATTCCAACTCAGTTTGAGAACCAGCAAGATACAAATGGGCGGAGAACGCCTTCACACCAGTTCATTGGTCTTCATCCATCCCAACTGGTGCGAAACGGATTTTGTCCAGAGTACGAGCACGTGTTAAAATGAAGCGGGCCACCACCACATGGTGTTCGTCTTGGTTGCCCTTTTCACTAAGGCCAAAAAGAAAATACGGGTCTTTTTGGGAGAGTACCCTTCTTGAGGTTACCTTTAAAGGGAAACGACCGGCACAATGACTTAACTGGGCTGCTCTCAGATCCCCCGCTAAAAGCTTAACTTTTCGCGGTTTAAATGGAAACTTCCACTAAACACTAAAAGTCTAAAAAGCTAAGGAACCGGATGGCTGGGAGCCACCAAGTTAAGGTCCCTGATTTTGAAGTCACTCGTCGTGTCGTTTAAAAGCGACGCACCATGCCCGTTCGCCTCGCCTGCAGCATCTCCAAGCCTGCTGAGTCCTCGCAGCCTGCGACTTTTCTCG